AAGCAGGGAGTAGGAAGGAATGAGATAGGTTTTGGGTTATGTTGTGCCTTTGATGGGTTGTGTTATATTCTGGATTATGTTATGTTTTTATAGATTGTGTCTGAATAGGATGAGAGTGTTGGAGATACGTGCAAATGTGTGTGTGAACCCGGTCTTTGGGTGGGTGCTTGATTTTCGTTGTTGTGTATACTGTGTATATACGGACAATGACAATAAATTTATAAATAAATAAATTTAAATTTAAATAAATAAGATGCACACACATTTCCCCTTACTTTTTAGGAGGGAAAAAGTGAGTCTTATAGAGCAAAAAATACGGTAATTATTCATCTCCTTGACAACTGATGGGAGGGTGTTCCACAGGGCGGGTGCCGCCACCGAGAAGGCCCTCTGCCTGGTTCCCTTAACCTCACTTCTCGCAATGAGGGAATCGCCAGAAAACCTTCGGAGCTGGACCTCAGAGTCCGGGCTGAATGATGGGTGTGGAGACGCTCCTTCAGGTTTACAGGGCCAAGGCCATTCAGAGCTTTAAAGGTCAGCAAAAGACTCTGAACTGTGCTCAGAAACGTACTGGGAGCCAATGTAGACCTTTAGGACTGGTGTTATATGGTCTCGGCGGCTGCTCCCAGTCTCCAGTTTGGCACCTACATTCTAGGTTAGTTATAGTTAGTTTCTGATTCATCTTGAAAGGTAGCCACAGGTAGAGCCCACTGAATTCTCTTAAAACACTGCTGTGTCCTCTTCCAGCCTGCATTCCTGCAGCCAGGACACAGTTAAGCTTGCACACACACACACACACACACACACACACACACGCACACACACACACACACACAAACACAATTAGCATGTATACCTGTTGTCAGTTCTGCATGATGCATGGGACAAAGGGCAAGGTGTGGGGCCGCGATGCTGAGAAAGGAGGAAGGGTCTGTTTCATCATAGCCTGGATACGACAGGTAGCTTAACTATGATGAATGGCTGGGCCAGACTAGCCACCGCCTTGAAGTCTTTGCGAAGGGAGAGAGAAATCAGTGGATACAGAGATTCACTGTCACAATTAATAAACCTCTCCCGGGGGGCGAGGGTCCTCTGTTAAGGCTCATGCCGGCATCTAGGGAACCTCTCTGCAAGGCCCTGCGTGCTTCAGCGATGCGTCCAAACTTACGGGAGACGGGAGGGCTGTCAACTTTTTAAGCCGCCTGCTGCATCTCTGCAGGTGGACGTATTTAAAGAAAGCCTCTCCTGCTAATTTCTGCAGTTCGAGCTGTGCTTAAAAGCACAGGAGCAGGCCAGGCTGCTTTTGCCCGTTCGGACTGGAATTTCCTTGATGGAGGCCAGGATTTCCTGGGTTTAACAGCTATCAGTGGCTGCTTGCCGTGACGCCCACGTTCTGCTCCTTCCCAGCCCGAAGTGGAGATATTGGGCATCGAACTTGGGACCCGTTGCAGGAAAAGGAAGTGCGTAACCCCCAAACTGCAGTGTAAGAACATAAGAAGAGGTTTTCTGGATCAGGCCTATGGTCCAGCAGTTCCAGCATCATCTTCTCCCAGGGGCGAACCAGATGCTTGTGTGGAACCTGCAAGTAGGATTCGAACACAAGATCCTCTCTCCTCTTGTGGTTTCCAGCAGTCAGCATTCAGAAGCATCACTGCCTCTGGGTGAAGTGAATATTGCTTTTATAAAGCAAACAGATGAAGAATCGGAAGTTCTTTCTGAATCTTAGTTTTCTAACTTTCTCTTTTAACAACTTCTTCTTCTTCTTCTTCTTCTTCTTCTTCTTCTTCTTCTTCTTCTTCTTCTTCTTCTTCTTCTTCTTCTTCTTCTTCTCTCTCTCTCCCCCTCTCTCTTCCCCCTTTTTGTGTTTCTATTGTAGCTAGATAAAAGTCTTGGTTTGATTTTTAAAAGGGGGAAAGATATTAAGCTTTGTATTTTTCTCTAAAAACCTGAACAGAATTTATTTTTAAAAAAGGAAGCATCCTTGCCTCCAATTGTGGAGGCAGAATATAGCTTTTGTGGCTAGTAGCCTTTAAAAGCCTCCTCCACGAATTCGTCCAATTTGTAAAGCGATCCTAGTTGGACGTCATTTCTACCACCTGAGGCAGGGAGTCCCACAGTTTATTTATTACTGTTATTATTTTATTACATTTCTATACTGCCCTTCATTCGAGGATCCTAGGGCAGCTTACAATATAAAATTGTAACTTTGTGCCGTGTGAATATTTTGTAGTCTCGCTTCCCCTTTGCCTGTTGATGGGCCTGACAATCACTTTCTGGACCAGAAAAAGAAGCAATTTATTTGCACCCCACCCCATAATTAACTTATTGAATTCCTTCCAATGAAATGGGCTTAATCGCAATGAACATTGGGTTGACACCTGCAGAACTGGCATTAAGGCACCTGCTTAAATCTCACCTGATGGGTGATCTAGCCATACCTGATATCTTAAGCTGATCTACTGATTCGCAATGCATTTTTTTGTTTCACAAACACAATTTTACAGCTGATTTCATTCTCTCTAACATATAGGTCTCTGAATGAAACAACTAGGGCAGACTTTGCAAAGCTGGTGTTTGCTCAGATGTTTTGGACTACAGCCGTGCTGTCTGAGGCTGATGAGCATTGTAGTCTTAAAAATATCAGGAGTGCACCAGGTTAGCAAAGGTTGAGCATGCGGTCACTATCACTTACATAGTTTAGAGTATAGGCGAGTAACAGGTGGCATGACGGAAGTGCACAAAATTATGCTCAGCATGGGCAGAGTGGATGGAGAAAAATATTTCTTCCTCTCTCTTGTAATGTTAGGACAAGAGAGGACCCTCTTACCTACGGCGCTGCCTCTCCCGGTCTGCCCCGCGGAGGACCTTAAGGTCCATAAATAGCAACACCCTAGAGGTCCCGGGCCCTAAGGAAGTCAGATTAGCCTCAACCAGAGGCAGGGCCTTTTCAACACTGGCCCCGGCCTGGTGGAACAGTCTGTCTCATGAGACCAGGGCCCTGCAGGATCTGATTTCTTTCTGAAGGGCCTGTGAGACAGTGTCGTTCCACCTGGCCTTTGGCTTGGAATCAACTTGATCCCCTTCCCCTCTTTCCTTTTCCTTTCTCCTTCTGTGATGGAACTCCTATTTGGGGACTTCCCTGGCTTTTTTCTGGCCCATGTAGGACCAGTCTGGATAGTTGGCCTTGGTGAAGATTGGACGTTTTCATCCCCCAAAAGTTTTTGATTTGAGTTTCTACTGAAATGAGGCTGCATTTTAATGTTGTATTTTAATCTTGTTTTTAAGTTGTATTTTAATCAATTGTTTTTATACCTGGTGTTAGCCGCCCTGAGCCCGATCTTGGCTGGGGAGGGCAGGGTATAAATAAAATATATTATTATTATTAAACTACGGAACTCCTTGTCACAGGAGTGACGGCTTTTAAAAAGGTCTGGACAAATTCCTGGAGGAGAGGACTATCGATGGCCAACCAGCCAGGATAGCTACGCTTTTCCTCCACTTCTGAACACCAGTTGCTGGAAACCACAGGGGGAGTGAGTGCATTTGAGTTCGAATCCAGCTTGTGGCTTTCCCCTGGGTTGGCAACTGTAAGAAAAGGACACCTTCTTATGTACTTACACGCCTGGCTTAGAAGCACTCACAAACACCTCAATTCTTAAGAGGAGGGTGTTGGAGAAGATGGACTACTGGTCCCAAGCTGCAGAGCAACTGCGACGTCCCCGCACACAGAATCCAGTTCCCCAGCCTGCCAAGGCCACAGAAGCAGCGCTGTGCCATGTGCTCTGGCACCAAAGGGAGGCCTGCGTGCAGCAGCGATTGCCGCGTCCCTGTCAGCCCATGATGAATGGCTCCAATTTGGAGGCCGGTTCTCGCTGTCACTCTCCACCCAAAGGCCCTCCCTCTCACCGCCAGCTGTTCTCTGCCCAGAGGCATTAGCCACGCTTTGGCGAGGACAGCCGGATCGCGTGGAACAAAGGAGCAACCTGTCTCCAGCAAGCGCAAGACTAATCGAGGGGTCTGCGTGCCGGTTGTGTCGGGGAGGTGCGCGGGGCTCGCTTACGCACGCTACTGATGCACTCCCAGTCTGATGATGTGGGTCTCTCATTGCTCCGGTGCCAGAAGGTGGGGAAATGCGTGGTCCCCAGAATCGGCTGGGCTGTAGGAAGCAGAGACCCACCCGGCCCAGCACTCTGCTTCCGAGAGAGGACAGGGAAGCAGAGCGTCAGGGAGCACACCATCGCCCTCTTCTCTGGTGACTAGGAGTGGCCGCCGGGACCACATAACACCGGTCCTATGAGATCTGCATTGGCTCCCAGTATGTTTCCGAGCACAATTCAAAGTGTTGGTGCTGACCTTGAAAGCCCTAAATGGCCTTGGTCCTGTATACCTGAAGGAGCGTCTCCACCCGCATCGTTCAGCCCGGACACTGAGATCCAGCTCCGAGGGCCTTCTGGTGGTTCCCTCACTGCGAGAAGTGAGGTTACAGGGAACCAGGCAGAGGGCCTTCTCGGTGGTGGCGCCCGCCCTGTGGAACGCCCTTCCACCAGATGTCAAGGAAATAAGTAGCTACCTTATCTTTAAAAGACGTCTGAAGGCAGCCCTGTTTAGGGAAGTTTTAAATATTTAATGCTGCATTGTTTTTAACACTCGCTTGGAAGCTGCCCAGAGTGGCTGGGGAAGCTCAGCCAGATGGGTGGGGTATAAATAATAAATTATTATTATATTATATTATTTGTGTCGGGACCTGGTTCTTGGTGGCGCACAGAGGCTCCCTTTTGGCTTGGAGCCCTCAGCAGACCTTCTCTCCACGAACTCCCCTAGCCTCCGAACATCGTGGGTTGCGATTCGGCGCTTCCGCGCATGCGTGACCACCGAAACCCGGTTGTAACCCGTTCTGGTACTTCCGGATTTCGGTGGTCCGCAACCCAAAAAAACGCAACCTGAAGCGGCTGTAACCCGAGGTATGACTATACACTTGAATGCCTTGTGAGATTCCCTACCTTGGGCAAACGTTCAGGGTCTCCAGGGTGTCGCGGGATCACCTTCTGCAAGCGCAGGAAGCCGTAGTCGATGGTTGGCTCATTCAAGGCTGCAGGCAGAAAGGGTGAGCGGGTTAGAATCCAGTGAACTGGGGTCGTTGTTGAGAGACAGAGCGGCCAGAACTGTGGGGCATCTCCTGAGCCCCTGACATTTGTGCATTTCTAAGCTGAACTTCGGATACCAAATCCCATTCACCGAGGGCTTTCCTCTAGACAATATTATCTCCAGACATATTCTAAACCTATTTTAAAGTCATTGCTTTAGTTCCGTAGCTTAACTACACGCTAGGCAAAGGAATCGTTCTTTTGGTCTGTGCTGAACCTCCTGGCTTTCAGCCCCATAGGCTGTCCACCAAGCCCCAGTGTCACAAGAAGGGGAGAAAAACAACTCCCTATTCCCTTTCCCTCTCAAAAAAAGGTACTTCTTCACATCTTTCATTTTATTTAAAGCATCTTCACCCTTTAACAGAAAAAAGAGGCTTCCTTGTAGTCTAAATGACACCACACGAAAGGAAAAGGGAGGAGGAGGGAGGAGGAAAAATGACAAACAGGCGCTTGTTCTTAGTTACGTAGTTTCTGTAATGACCAGCTGGAACAGAAAGAATTCAAGGAGAGGAGGAGAGTTGAAATGGTGGAGGGAGCAGGGCCTCTGAATACCAGTTGCTGGAAATCGCAGGAGGGGACAGAAATCTTGTGGGTTTCCGTTTGGGGCATGGCAGGGGGTTGGACTAGATGACCCTTGGGGTCCCTTCCAAATCTATGATTCTATGATTCTAATCCCCTCCAATGTAGGAATAAAGGTAAAGGGACCCCTGACCATTAGGTTCAGTCATGACCGACTCTGGGGTTGCGGCACTCATATCGCTTTATTGGCCAAGGGAGCCGGTGTACAGCTTCCGGGTCATGTGGCCAGCAAGACTAAGCCGCTTCTGGCTAACCAGAGCAGCGCATGGAAACGCTGTTTACCTTCCCACCAGAGCGGTACCTGTTTATCTACTTGCACTTGACATGCTTTCGAACTGCTAGGTTGTCAGGAGCAGGGACCGAGCAACGGGAGCTCACCCCGTCACGGGGATTCTAACCTTCTGATCGGCAAGTCCGCGTCCCGATAATGTAGAAATAGCCTGCGGCAAAAGTTCCAAAAGCACACCTTCAACCTGCCCTCATACAAGATGCTTTCTGGGACAATACCGGTGCTAAGGAACAGCAAGAATCTGCCCACAAGAACATAAGGAGAACGTTGCTGGGACAGTCCAAGGGCCCACCTGTTCCAGCCTCTCACGGTGGCTTGTGGGACTCCCGCGATCAGGATTCGAACACAAGAGCCCTCTGGGATGCAGAGGAATTGCTGCTTCCCACCTTGGAGGCACAGAAATAGCCATCACTGGTCCTCACCTTCAGGAGCCAGGCAAAAACATCCCTTTTTTCCCCAGGCCTTTGACTAATTAAACCATCTATGGCCTTTTCATCTCTCTCTCTCTGTATGTGGTGGTGGAATTTGATTTTGTATCTCTGGCATGTATCTATGTGTTTTTATATTGCAAACAGCCCTGTGATCCTCAGAGAAAGAGAGGCAAAGAAATTGAACAAATAACAACATTGATATGAATAATCATAAATGATCTATTCTCCCCCCCCTTTCCGCTCTCCTCTTTCGCCCCCCCCCATCTCCAAGGCACAGAGAATCAGGGATTCCACCACCCTCCAATAACCTGTCTATCACCCAGAAGGCACATACTCCCCCCCCTTTAAACCTCCTCCCTCTGAGATTGGCGCGCTTCATTACTGAACCAAGATGAAGATAGATTGCCTGATTTAGCGTAAACATATGCTGCAATTCCAGTTCTGGGCAGCGTTCGTGCAGGAGTAATTGGTATTGATTTTCTCCCTGCTCCCCCCGCCCCCACCCCTGGAAGGCCTTTCACAGGCGAGAGCACACGGGATTACCCATGCAACGAGGGGGGTAGGTGGGTGGGACGACACCCACACCCACAGAGATGCGGTCACAGGGTTGTGCTTTTGGGGACAGGGGAAGACGGGCCCAGATGGGATCTTGACAGCTCTACCGTTCTGAATTCCACACATGGGCTCAGATGCGTGAAGGGCAGGCCAGAGCACGTGCTCCCATTGTCCCACAGGTGGGGGGTGATTCATATGCTTGGCCCCGCCATTGGGGGACCGGTATAATGAATTAATTTATTATTTATACCCCGCCCATCTGGCTGGGTTTCCCCAGCCACTCTGGGCGGCTTCCAACAGAATATTAAAATACAATAACCTATTAAACATTAATCTTCCCTAAACAGGGCTGCCTTCAGATGTCTTCTAAAAGTCTGGTGGTTGTTGTTCTCTTTGACATCTGGTGGGAGGGTGTTCCACAGGGAGGGCGCCACCACCGAGAAGGCTCTCTGCCTGGTTCACTGTAACCTCGCTTCTCGCAGGGAGGGAACCGCCAGAAGGCCCTCAGCACTGGACCTCAGCGTCTGGGCTGAACGATGGGAGTTGAGGCGCTCCATCAGGTATATTGGACCGAGGCTGTTTAGGGCTTTAAAGGTCAGCACCAACACTTTGAATTGTGCTCGGAAACGTACTGGGAGCCAATGTAGGTCTTTCAAGACCGGTGTTATATGGTCTCGGCAGCCGCTCCCAGTCACCAGTCTAGCTGCCGCATTCTAGTTGTAGTTTCCGGGTCACCTTCAAAGGTAGCCCCACATAGAGCGCATGGCAGTAGTCCAAGTGGGAGATAACCAGAGCTTGCACCACTCTGGCAAGACAGTCTGCAGGCAGAGAGGGTCTCAGCCTGCGTACCAGATGGAGCTGGTAGACAGCTGCCCTGGACACAGAATTGACCTGCATCTCCATGGACAGCTGTGAGTCCAGAATGATTCGCAGGCTGCGCACCTGGTCCTTCAGGGGCACAGTTACCCCATTCAGGACCAGGGAGTCCTCCACACCTGTCCGCCCCCTGTCCCCCAAAAACAATACTTCTGTCTTGTCAGGATTCAACCTCAATCTGTTTGCTAAAAAGAGCCTGCTGTATCAGGACAATGGGCCGTTAGCCCAGCATCCTGCTCTCACAGCGGCCAGCCAGGTGCCTCTTCTGAGAAACCCACAAGCAGGATTCGAACACAGGAGCCACTCGACCTTCCTGCGGTTTCCAGCAACTGGTATTCAGAAGCATCGCTGCCTCCGACTGTGGAGGCAGACCATAGCCATAGCGACTAGTAGTCAACCCCAGCCCTCTCCTCCTCCATGAATTTGTCTAATCCTCTTTTAAAGCCCCCAGGGTGAGTGCCCATTACTGCTTCCTGTAGCAGAGAGTTCCATAGTTCAACCATGCAAAGACAGACTTTTTTTGCTCTCTCCCGAAGTTGCACTGACCACTGGCAGCAAATTCAGGGAGATCAGATGAGTGCCGTCATTTCACAGCGAAGCCAGGAGTTCCAAAGGCCACGTGGGACCGTGAGCTGTCTGGGCAGAAAAGTCAATACCCGCCCCTCCTTGCACCGCCTCCCCACAAAAGATGACCGCCCCAACTCTCACCAGTGTAAACAAAGCGTCCTGGCGCTCCTTTGCAGAACTGCTTCGATTTGTAGGAGAGGGTCACTTCCACCACTCCGGGAATGTGCCTTGGCGGAGTCTGCACACGGATTGCGTGCGGCGTGATGAGCTGTTAAGAGAGGTGGGCAGACATTTAAAGGCAGAACAAGAGCCAATGGCAAATTGAGACCAGCATCCTGTTCTCACAGATCATTGAAATTGAAATACTTTATTGTCACTTGCATACAAGCACCCCCCCCCACTCAGCTCTCTTAGTCTTAATTCCCCTCGTTTACTGACGCACACTCACCAAACCCGAAAGTCAGTTGCCCTGTTCTTATCTTTTCATTCAGCAGCCTAACAGCCCAGGATAGAAGCTGTTCTTTACCCTGTTGGTGTGACTAATCATGGGTGGGATGCGGGTGGTGCTGTGGGTTAAACCACAGAGCCTAGGACTTGCCGATCAGAAGGTTGGCGGTTTGAATCCCCGCGACGGGGTGAGCTCCCGTTGCTCGGTCCCTGCTCCTGCCCACCTAGCAGTTTGAAAGCACGTCAAAGTGCAAGTAGATAAATAGCAACCACTCTGGCGGGAAAATAAATGGTGTTTCTGTGCACTGCTCTGGTTTCGCCAGAAGCGGCTTAGTCCTGCTGGCCACATGACCTGGAAGCTGTATGCCGGCTCCCTCGGCCAGTAAAGCGAGATGAGCGCCGCAACCCCAGATTCGGCCACGACTGGACCTAATGGTCAGGGGTCCCTTTACCTTTACCTATATCTTCTGCCCGAGGGCAGGAGATAAGAAAGTGCCGGCCAGGGTGTGAGTCATCCCTGAGAATTTTCCTCACTCTCCTAAGGCAACGTTCTTCCGCTATTTCATCCCGTGGATTCACATGTCAGCCCATAATATCTTGTACTGTATTCACCACCCTCATTCCGGTGGCCCCTTCCTGAACTTTTACAGAGCTCTGGGGCTGCCGTTGGGGAGCCAGAGGCCACTGAGCCTGAATTCCACGGACCCCAAAAACACCTCCCAGAGCACTGTCAGGCCAGAATCGGGACCCTCATGCGCACCTTTCCCCGAGGAACCCAATGTCCCCAATAGGACCTTGCCTATCCAGCAGGTCAGGGAGGGCAGGAGACTATGGAAAGGAGGAGGAGGAGATGACCATTGCAGGGGGTTGGACTAGATGATCGTTGGGTCCCTTCCAACGATTCTATGATTCTATCTTCAGGCCAGAAGGCTGGCCCTTTAAGAGCTATCCACAAGGCGGCAGGCCTGTAGCTCAGCAGACGAGCATTTTTCCCTTGGGTTCAAGTCCCCAGAGATCCCAGCTTGCAACCCTGGACAACGACAGCTGCCAGTCAGAGAAGGCAATATGGCTGGTGGGCCACACAGTGGTCTGGCTCTGGATAAATCAGCTTCTTTCCCCTGTGGGATCCAGCACCAGACTAGAACACCCTTCCTTTTCATCAGTTAAGTTGCCAACCACAGCTGTGCAACCAGATGCAGGGCCTCTCTATGCTGCAAACCTCCATTGTTTTGTTGCCAGCTTGAACTGTCATGGCTCCCTGCAAAGCACCCTGGGAGCTGCAGTTTGGCAAGGCTGCTTGCAAATCTCTGGGTTTTTTGGGGGGAACGATTGGCAAACCAAGTTTCAAGTCCTCAGTGTGCACATAAAAAGAAATTGTTATTTAGGGGAACTGAATTTAATTCTAAATTATATTCCGGAAACGTGGGATATTTCAAGGGGTCAAAAAATAAATAAATGGACGTACTGTGCTATATTAGAAGCAAAAAAACAACAACAAAAACAAACAAAAAAACCCTTGTTTTGATGAATTGGAAGAGCCACAAAAAGATTCCATTGAGCACATGGATTATGGACAGATTAGCTACATATGAACAAATGTCAACGCAAAATAAGAATGGATAAATATGAAGAAATCTGGATCGAATATTTACGCGATAAGGCGGACAGTTGTGGGAAGTAGGGAGAGGAGAGAGAGGTGGGGAAATATTGTTAAAAAAGATGTAGTCGTAGGTATATCAGTGCATTCAAATCTGAATTGTCAAATTGTGTTATTATGGTTTTAGTTGTATGTATCTTTTGCGGTGGATGTTTGTATCAAAAAAACGATTAAACAAATAATAATAATAATAATAATAATAATAATAATAATAATAAAGTCTTCAGCGTGCACCTGGAGACTCACCTCGCTCCACACCAACATGGTGCCAAAGACCACCTGCAATCCGTCAAAGAAGTTGTCCCCGATGACGATGACGGTGGCGCCGCCCGTCGTCCAGCCTTCACTGGGGCTGATGGCTTTGATGCAGGGGGTGGCAGCTTCAGGCAGGGAGGGGGGAGAGACAAGGGGGAGAGTCAGCAACTGGGGTGAGCGGAAGAAGAGGAGGTGCAGATCACCGTAAGAAGGGAAAGTGGGCAGTGATGTGGAGGGCAGAGGAGGGCAAACCGGGGGGGGGGGGAGTGCATGTTGGAGGGAAGGAAAAATAGGCAATGAAGGGGGTTGGACTAGTTGGCCTTTGGGGGTCCCTTCCAACTCTACAGTTCTCTAATTCCAGGCTTTCGAGCCAATGGGGATTATAGAGAACCGTAGGCTGTGACAGCCCCAAGAGAAAGGTGGTCCTTCTTCATAGAATCATAGAGTTGGAAGGCATGCCAAGGGCTTTCTAGCCCAACCCCAAATCATTAGTGCACAGAAAATATAACAACAACAACAACAACACAGTGGTACCTCTGGATGCGAACGGAATCCGTTCCGGAGCCCCGTTCGCATCCTGAAGCGAAGGCAACCAGCGTCTGCGCGTGCGCAGGTCACAATTCGCTGCTTCTGCGCATGTGCATGACGTCATTTTGAGCGACTGCACATGCATGAGAGGCAAAACCCGGAAGTAACATGCTCCGTTACTTCCAGGTCACCACAGAGCACAACCCAAAAATCCTTAACCTGAAGCTACTGCAACCCGAGGGATGACTGTAATAATAATAATAATAATAATAATAATAATAATAATAATAATAATTTTATACCCCACCCATCTGGGTGGGTTTCCCCAGTCACTCTGGGCGGCTTCCAACAAAATATTAAAATAAAATAGCTGTTGTTGTCATCCGTCTGTCTCGAGAGTCAATGGAGTGTGCCTCCGGGGGTGGAGTCAAACCACTGCATTAGCAGTACCAGAGGGTACTGCGCACGTCTGGGCAGCATGCATGGGGGACCTGGGCTGCCCAAGACGACAAAACCCCCCTCTCAGCCTCACCGATGGGGTCCAATGAAAAGCAGAGTGATATGTTAGGCACCAGTTTGCTGGAAGGAGGCGTACTAGGCGCCACAGAAAATAATATATGGAGATGAGCAGTGATCGTTGCAACGCATCAATGTACAACTGCGAGATGCTTTCGTAAACCTAGAATCTGTGATAAGGTCTGGCTACGATAAGATCTGACGCCTGAGTTTGCCACTGCGCTGCTGCAACACAGACCTTCAGAGGGGTCCAGCCTTCTTGCCCGCCTCCCATGCTTGGAGTTGTTGTGCACAAACATGTTATCAGACACCGCCAGGACATGGCCGTCCACATTGACTGTCGTCGACACCACAACCTAAAGGGGAAGAGAGATTAGGGGTTTGCCAGGGAGGAGGAGGAAGGAGACATCTAGACTCCCAGCAAAACAGCAATTTCCTGGTCCTCAGAAGGTAGAAAAACAGGCTAGACAACCATCGGGGTCATTCCATCAGCGAGAGGGCACCGTCCAGGACTATAGGGTGACGTCTGCCCCTGTCCTGCCCCGCCGAGCATCTCTGATGCAATTTGTCACAGCCAGATTTGCCCCTTGATGCCTTTCAGCTGCTTGGCTGCACATTCTCTGCACAAAGAAATAAGGTGGAAGGCCAGCTGCCAATTTTCACACTGGCAGGTGCGCAGCCTGGGGTCATTTTGGACTCACAGCTGTCCATGGAGGCGCAGGTCAACTCTGTGTCCAGGGCAGCTGTCTACCAGCTCCATCAGGTACCCAGGCTGAGACCTTCCCTGCCTGCAGACTGTCTCGCCAGAGTGGTGCATGCTCTGGTTATCTCTCGCTTGGACTACTGCAATGCGCTCTATGTGGGGCTACCTTTGAAGTTGACCCGGAAACTACAACTAATCCAGCCAGACTGGGGACTGGGAGTGGCCGCCGAGACCATATAACAGGTCCTGGAGGTTCTATATAGGCTCTCAGGACATTTCTGAGCACAATTCAAAGTGTTGGTGTTGACCTTGAAAGCCCTAAATGGCCTTGGTCCAGTATACCCGAAGGAGCGTCTCCACCCCCATTGCTCAGTCTGGACACTGAGGTCCAGCGCCGAGGGCCTTCTGACAGTTCCCTCACTGCGAGAAGCTAGAGAACAAGGCAGAGGGCCTTCTTGGTAGTGGCGCCCGCCCTGTGGAGCGCCCTCCCATCAGATGTCAAGGAAATAAGTAACTATCTGACTTTTAGAAGACATCTGAAGGCAGCCCTGCACAGGGAAACTGTTTTTTAATGTTTTATTACGTTTTTATATATGTTGGAAGCCGCCCAGAGTGGCTTGGGCAACGCAACCAGATGGGTGGGGTATAAATGATAAAATTATTATTATTATTATGGTACCTCGCAAGACGAAAAACTCGCAAGACGAAAGGGTTTTTGGTTTTTTGAGCTGCTTCGCAAGACGAATTTCCCTATGAGCTTGCTTCGCAAGACGAAAACGTCTTGCAAGTTTGTTTCCTTTTTCTTAAAACCGTTAATGCAGTTGCGACTTGACTTCGAGGAGCAGCTCATAGCACGCGGTGTGGTAGCCTTTTTTGAGGTTTTTGAAGACTTTGGTGATTTTTAAAGCTTTTCCAAAACTTTTCCGAAACCGTGCTTCGTAAGACGAAAAATTCGCAAGACGAAAAAACTTGCAGAACGAATTAATTTCGTCTTGCGAGGCACCACTGTAGTAGTAGTAGTAGTATTTCTCTGATGAGTTTTTAAATGTCCATTGGGGTTTGGCTATTGCAGGGGTAAACGTGCAATCACACATAAACTGTGTTTCTGCAGGGGAATGGAGAATCTAGAACATTTTAAAGTCATCTGGCGGGATATTTACTTCCTATGCTTCGGACGTAAGGCGCTCAATATTCAAGATCCACGCCAGCTTGGGAAATATAGATGCCTGGGTTTATATTTCTTTTCCCTGCTATTCGTTGTGTGTTTGTTTGCTTGTTTGCTGTATATGGTGTGATGCAATACCCCGCTAGCACACTTTGGGTCTGTGAATAATGCCAGCCTCACGCGAGGAAAGGGGAGCCCAGCCCACGCCAGAGACCTCAGCAGGACCCAGAGGGGCCACGCTGTCTGTGGGGGCAAGAAGGGGCTCCCTGGGCCTCAACCGGCTCTGGCTGGCTGGCTGGGGGGCTTCATCATCAGGTTCCTCTCCTAACGATATGGTAATTGTGACATTTTTACATGATTAGCAGCCATTCCAATTTGCATAGCGCGGGTGCCTGGGAGCGAAAGCACACCCACCTTGATGAGGGAAGGAGAAGGAGCAGCAGCAGCAGCAGACGCCGCCGCTACGGGCGAGAGGCGAGTGCGAACCACGCTTGGTAGCAGAGGTAGATTTAGGCAAGCGAGACCGACTCCCTCGCACTGGGTGCCGAGCCCAGAGGGCACCGCGGGGGGAATTGCAATGATGACAAACAACGATTAAATACAATAAACTCTGCTTATAGAGATGGGAGACACAGAGGCAGTCCAACAAACGGACATGTTTGCATTAGGGGATGTCCTGAAGTAGAGGACATCTTGCGCTGCCCCTTATATAATGATGCAAGAGAGAGATTTTTAGCACCTATAATGACAAGGTCCCCTGGCCAGAACCCCTCTGACATGATTTTATATCTCCTCGCAGAAACAGAGAAGTATGTGACCTGGCGTGTAGCACTCTTTGCAACTGCCGCTACAAAAATTAGAGCAAATTAGATACCCAAGGTAGCCACCAACTGTAAAGGAGATGAATTTATGGTGCTGTGGGTTAAACCACAGAGCCTAGGACTTGCCGATCAGAAGGTCGGCGGTTCGAATCCCCACGACGGGGTGAGCTCCCGTTGCTCGGTCCCTGCTCCTGCCCACCTAGCAGTTCGAAAGCACGTCAAAGTGCAAGTAGATAAATAGGTACCACTCCGGCGGGAAGGTAAACAGAGTTTCCGTGCGCTGCTCTGGTTCGCGGCTTAGTCATGCTGGCCACATGACCTGGAAGCTGTACACCGGCTCCCTCGACCAATAAAGCGAGATGAGCACCGCAACCCCAGAGTCGGCCATGACTGGACCTAATGGTCAGGGGCTATATTCTATCTTTATCCCCAAACTCCGAATATAATTGCACATTGTATTAATCAACATTATTTTTTAATATATTAGTGGCCATGTGATAATTTGAGCTTATAAATTTTATTGTTTAATGTCTTAACTTGTATATTAAGGTACTTTTATAGCTCTGTTTAGAGTAGGCAATGTCTTGATAATATAAATGTTTTAAGTTTTTTGTATCAATCTAGTATATTTTCTTTTAATCATTTGATGATTCTGTGTACATTGCGGCAGCCTTTGGCTATGTGCAATAAAACTGACTGACTGACTGACAAACAACGGAAGGCAAGAGGTGAGGGGGCTCCGAATTTTGGCGCCGCACAGGGCACCACTGAAGTTTTAAAGCTCAAATTTCAGCTGAAATTCCTGCATTGCAGCGGGTTGGACTGGATAACCCTTGAGGGTCCCTTCCATGATTCAAAGTCTGCTCTAGGAAATGGCGGAAGCCAGCAGGCCACAGGCACACCCGTCCCCACCTTAACACTGTTGCAAATTGTTTCCGGAGCCCAACTCAAGGTGCTCCCTTTGACGTTCGAAGCCCTAAGGCTTGGGGACCCTGTCATCTACAAGAAAGCCTTACCCCATATCAACCAGCCCATGACTGAAGCTCAGCGGGTGAGGCCCACCCTCCCACCCCATGGGACTCCTGAGGGCCCTCTCGCTGGGGAAGGGCCTTTTCAGTGGTGGCTCCTTGTGTGTGGAACTCCCTCCCGACCAAGGTGTGTCTCTGGCCCCATCGCACTGTACCATCTTTCTCAGTGTCTCTCTGGAGAGGACCAGATCGCTCCTGCTGTGGTTTTTGTCAGGATGGAACAGAAGTAGCAGGTGAAAGGGAAAATGGGGTGCGTCTCACCTGAAAGCGGCGCATGTCCCGGGGGTTCCCTGCATTCTTCAGGCAGTTCTGGTTGCATTTGAGGAAGAACTTGAGGAAAAATCTAGAAGGAAGAGGAGAAAAGAGGGTGTTGTACTTACCCAGTCAAGCCAGAGATTGTGTCTGCTGGGCCCCCTTGGGGCTGGTAGGGCAGAAAGCAAGGAGCCCAACAGCAGGGGGCGCAAGAGCCAATGTTGGGAAGCCAACCAGGCTGAGTACGTTTCCGAGCACAATTCAACGTGTTGGTGCAAATGGCCTCGGTCCAGTATACCTGAAGGAGCGTCTCCACCCCCATCATTCTGCCTGGACACCAAGGTCCAGCACCGAAGGCCTTCTGGCGGTTCCCTCGCTGTGAGAAGCAAAGCTACAGGGAACCAGGCAGAGGGCCTTCTTGGTAGTGGCGCCCGCCCTGTGGAACGCCCTCCCACCAGATGTCAAAGAGAAAAACAACTACCAGACTTTTAGAAGACATCTGAAGGCAGCCCTATTCAGGGAAGTTTTTAATGTGTGACATTTTAATGTATTTTTAATCTTTGTTGGAAGCCGCCCAGAGTGGCTGGGGAAACCCAGACAGATGGGCAGGGTACAAATAAAAAATTATTATTATTATTATTATTATTATTATTATTATTAGACTGTAGAAAGAGCTGGTGGGCAGAGCCAACCTCTGAACTGGCTGTAAGTTAGGCAGGCAGTAGGTGGGAGCAGGCTGAGGTTTGCAGGGCACTGCCCAATTTGCCCCGACGGACGAGGTTTCATGGTGGTCACCAGATTCCAAGCCCTGGTTCCTCGCCTGATGCTTTGGCTCAGGTGCTCTGGCCAACTTGGCCGCAGAGAAGTTCAAGAATGATTTTTTTCCAAGAAGAAAGCAACAGTATCCAAGCACCTTCTCTAGTCAAACAAGTCTGGACTGTGGCCGGTGCCTGTCCAAACCCCTTTCCCAACACCCTTGTCCACCCAGCCCCAACCCTTGCCTAAACGGATCACGCACCCTTTGCCTCCCTTCCTCCCATGTGCCTGGTGGTTGCGCTGGCCCTTTAAGGCAGCCCTGAAATGCACCCTTCTCTGCTTAAGAGGGTATTGATTGGAAACTGATCCCCGGCTGCCTCCGAGGCAGCTAATGGGCTTTATTGCTGCAGAGAACGATCAATCAGGGAATACAAACCCTGGAGATATCTGAGCCCTGGGGGCGGGGGGCGGCAGCGCAGATGGCAGGGAGTGTGGGGCGAGGGAGGCCTGTGCTGGATGCAGATCCGAGCCACAGCTTCACATGCCCAGCTCCTTCCCCAAGATGCAGAGATACCTGGAGTCACCCCCAAATTGCCACTGGGGTGCGTGTTCTAATGTTCTGCTTTCTGCGCCTTTCGTAGCAGCCTGAGAATCGCTCGCTTTGCTGGGCTGCTGTTCAAGGCAAGGGAGTTTTCAAAGCAGAGGTTGGATGTCTAATTCTACAATTCTGTGATTCCATGAGCTCACTGTGAGTTCCCAAAGCAGACCGGGAGCCTGGGTGCCCGCCTTTAATGGGCATGAGAAACTGCGGAGAGCGCCAGGCCCTCAGGGGAGGGCACACAACTGGCAACCTCTGTGCATCCCAGGAGCTGTCAGCGGCTAAAGTCTGACGCCAGCCACACCCTCACGGTGCATTTAAAGCGCATGGCTTACCCCAAAGAGCCCTGGGAACTATGGTTGGTTAAGGGTGCTGGGAATGGAATCATAGAATCATAGAGTTGGAAGAGACCACAAGGGCCATCGAGTCCAACCCCCTGCCAAGCAGGAAACACCATCAGAGCACTCCTGACATATGGTTGTCAAGCCTCTGCTTAAAGACCTCCAAAGAAGGAGACTCCACCACACTCCTTGGCAGCAAATTCCACTGTCAAACAGCTCTTACTGTCAGGAAGTTCTTCCTAATGTTTAGGTGGAATCTTCTTTCTTGTAGTTTGGATCCATTGCTCCGTGTCCGCTTCTCTGGAGCAGCAGAAAACAACCTTTCTCCCTCCTCTTTGTGACATCCTTTTATATATTTGAACATGGCTATCATATCACCCCGTAACCTCCTCTTCTCCAGGCTAAACATGCCCAGCTCCCTTAGCTGTTCCTCATAAGGCATCGTTTCCAGGCCTTTGACCATTTTGGTTGCCCTCCTCTGGACACGTTCCAGTTTGTCAGTGTCCTTCTTGAACTGTGGTGCCCAGAACTGGACACAGTACTCCAGGTGAGGTCTGACCAGAGCAGAATACTCAGGAGGATGGAAGAATGCTCAGGAGGATGGAAGAATGAGGAAATGCCAAAGAAAGAAAAATTGATGAGCTACGCAGAGCTGGCTAAATTGACATACAAATTGCGGGACAAGGACAGCTGTGACTTTAAGGAAGAAGGGGAGCTTTTTACAACATTATCTAAAAAGACAACAAAATGAATTGGACTCCTTGGCAGGTTTTGAATAAACATGCACCAATTTATTGGTTGGCAACATGGTAGAAGAAGAAGAAGAAGAGTTTGGATTTGATATCCCGCTTTATCACTACCCGAAGGAGTCTCAAAGCGGCTAGCATTCTCCTTTCCCTTCCTCCCCCACAACAAACACTCTGTGAGGTGAGTGGGGCTGAGAGACTTCAGAGAAGTGTGACTGGCCCAAGGTCACCCAGCAGCTGCATGTGGAGGAGCGGAGATGCGAACCCAGTTCCCCAGATTACGAGACTACCGCTCTGAACCACTACACCACACTGGCTCTCAATAGATAGATAATGGTAGATAGATAATGTAAGGATATGTATAATTTTATAACATGCAGAGAATAATATGTGCTGAGAAATCAGAGAGAGGAGCTGAGGGGAGGGTTTGAAGGGGGAAATAATGAATATGATATGTTTTGATAATATGTTATGTTGAAATTGTTAATAAAATCATTAAAAAAGGGGTGCTGGGGATGCTAATGGCCTGAGGGGCAAACCACAGTTTCCAGGATTCTTTGGAAGAAGCCACAGGTTTTAAACGTATGGTGTGGATGTGACCTTTCTGGGCTTGGCTTGGAAGTGGCAGAAGCTGACTGGTTTGGGGCTTCCGTCGGCAACGCCAGGAGAAGTGATTCCATGAGGCATGTCCAAAGATCCTAAGTACTGGAAGACACAAGATCTACCCACCCTGGAAGAATGGCAGATGATGGACTATATGGAACTGGCGGAAATGACCAGCAGAATCCGAGACCAGGGAGAAGAGTCGGTGGAAGAAGATTGGAAGAAATTTAAAGACTATTTACAGAAATACTGCAAAATTAATGAATGTTAGAATGATGTCGGAATGAAGTTAAGTGGTTTTTAGCAGCAATGTTATAAAGGAATATGTAAAAATGGATTGTTAACAGGTGATAATCTAAAGTTATAATATATTAAGATAAAGGATTAGGATAAAAACAAAGAGGGAAAGGATTTGCTGAATTAACTATTTGAACTGGAATACAAAAAAGGGAGGTGTGAGGAGGTCAGGGAAACAAGCAAACGAAAGACAAGATATGGAAAGATTGATTTGTTTTTAACTGTTTGTATTTTTCTGTACTTTGTATTTTCTTTTTTCTTCTTTTCTTTTTCTTATTTTTGTAACATTTTGAAACTTCAATAAATATCTTTTTAAAAAACACAAAGATCCTTTGCCAAGGTCACAGGGAGCCCTGGAAAGTGGATTGGGTGCATTCGCAGGAACGGCTTGCCAGACACGCCATGGATCGCGAGATGTGGCAAAGATCCCTTGATTGTTATCCAGGGTTCCCAGGATCCTGAGGAAGGTGTGCCGAAGACTACGGCCGAGGGATGATCCAGGGTCCCGAAACCAAGCCTTATGAGGAGTGGTTGAGGGAACTGGTTATATTTAGCCTGGATAAGAAGGGACTCGGAGGTGGCTCCCAGTGGAGTACAGGGTCAGGTTTAAGGTGCTGGTTTTGACCTTTAAAGCCCTATGCGGCCTAGGACCCATGTACCTACAGGACTGCCTCTCCTGGTATGTCCCACAGAGGACGTTAAGGTCCACAAATAACAACGCTTTGGAGGTCGCAGGTCGCAAGGTGGTTAGACTGGTCTCAACTAGGGCCAGGGCCTTTTCAGCACTGGCCCCGACTTGGTGGAACACTGTCACAAGAAACTAGGGCCCTGCGGGATTTGACATCTTTCCTCAGGGCCTGCAAGACAGAGCAGTTCCACCTGACTTTTGGTTTGGACTCGGTCTGACCCTTCTGTTTCTCTTCCCTTATGGTCTTGATTTATCAGTTACTTTAAAATGAGGCTGCATTTTAAATGACATTTTTTTTCGTTTTCCTTTTCCCCCACCCTCTCTTTCCCCCTTATTATGTTTTTACTGTGATTTTATCGGCCTTAGCCGCCCTGAGGGCGGGGTATAAATAAAATTAATTATTATTATTATTATTATTATTATTATTATTATTATTATACAGCCATCTTCACATGGGTTGTCACATGGAAGATGGAGCAAGCTGGTTTTCTGCTGCGCCAGAGAAGAGGATCTGAACCAGTGGATTCAATCGACAAAGAAGGAGATCCCAAATAAACTTTCCGATGCTGAGAAGTGTTTGACAGTGGATCGGGCTACCTCAGAAGGTGGTGAACTCTCCTTGACTGGAGGTTCTGAGGTTGGGTGGCCACCTGCCAGGGATTCTTGAGCTGCAATTCCTGCTTTGTGGGGGGTTGGACTAGATGACCCTCGGAACCCCTTCCAACACTACAATTTAGGATTCTGCAATCTTTTGAAAAGGACTGAGGAAGAGAGAAGTGGGCCGAGGGGAGAAGGAGCAGCTGAGAAAAAAAAATCCTGAAAAGATGGATGGAAGCCAGCGAATACGATTCCTTCTCCAACCACATTCCGGGCTGATGAAATATTTAGGATGCTTGTGTAGGGTCCTATAATTGTCATCCTAGCATCAATAATTAAGGGGCGGCAGCCGTGCCTGCACTGGAGAGGACCAGGAAGGCTGGGAAGAGAGGAAAAGCTAGCTCTAACCACACACACACACACACACACACACAGACACACACACACACACACTGCCCAGTCGTT